GTAGCTCCTGCTGCTTCTGCACATGCTTGTGAATAAAATAGAAAAAAAAAGGGAGTGTTTTAGAAGTAGATCCAAGAACGTAAAGGAGAAGGTCAGAAAGATTTACAGTCCGTGTGCTGTTGCACTGATTTATTGTTGCAGTTGCATTTTAGTTTGATTCTCGCACGCTGTGTTAAAGAAAAAAAGGAATCTCACACTTGGACAGCTGTGCAGGTCCAGTGTGCGGCTACAGTGATGTGCACACAGCGAGCCGAGTGATGTGGCCGCCTCTGATGCTGCGACTCGGTTATTAACAGTTGTTGCACAGTAATGCTTTGCAGTTGTTGCATACATTTGTTCATGCAGTGCCACAGCGGCGGTGAGGTTTACACTGCAATCACTTTGTTAGATGTTAGTATCTTGGTAACGACAGTTTGTCTTTAACTTCCTGTGTGTTTTCCTGACTCCAGCTCCGCTGCCATCATCAACATGTAGGAGTGTTGCATGTTGCAGTATCTGAACTAGAATAAGTTTGCAATGATGCAGCTTTATTCTGCAAAGAAAAAAACAACTACATCCAGGCGATCGCAGGAGTTGACATGTTCCCCTGCACAAATAAAATGAATGTCACTCCAGAGTTTGATCGGTAAACGTGGAAATAAACTGTGCCTCCAATAATCCGTCACCTCTCCGTGAAACACAACAGCAGAAGGCACTGAAGTAGACGTAGTGGTACAAAAATGTTGGATCTTCCTCGTCTTAAATCTGGACTTAAATCTGTGCTGCAACTATTTACATTAATTAAGTGTAATTATATCGCAGAATATTGTCAACATATAATTAACTCAGGGGGGAAGAAGCAGCCGATTACAGCTCCTGCAGTCCCCACGCGGCGTCTCCGTCAATCCCTGCCCTCGACATGTAGTTACATTTCCGAGTCGTGCGTAAACTCGCAGCCTATAAATCCTGCTCTGCTCTGAACATTTGCAGAGCCCCTCGTCGTCCCGTGCGAGGTGTTACGAGGCAGCCCTGACGGCTTTACGCCGCTCGTATAGCTCAGCCCGCGCCGTGGAAACGCAGGAGGAGGATGTTAGCAGCCAGTGTTTGTGTAATTGAACACCGTGGGCTCTCAGAGCTACTAAAGCATCCTTTGTAAACACTGTTTGTTGATGTAAAGGCAGTGACTGATTGCAGATGGCTGTGTTCACTCAAGGCCTCGCTGCTGTGTGTGTGTGTGTGTGTGTGTGTGTGTGTGCATTTTCGAGGGTGTTTATTTGTTTAAAGTGTACAGAGGAGGACTTCTCATTATGGTTGTGTGTGCGCTCATGCACTTTTGTGTGTTTGTGCTTACAATCATGTCACTAATTAGAAACTTGCTTTATTTCCCCTCCCCCTTGTTCTGCGAGTGAGTGGGTGTTGAATGGGGCCTTATGGGTAGGCACTGTAATTAATGGCCACCTTATCCTCCTCTTCCTTCACTCCCTCTCTTTTCTCTCTCTCTCTCTCCACCCTCTGTCTCCCCTCTTTTCTCCCTGGCTTATTATCATTAGTCACATTCCATCAGTTCTCAGAGAGCACTGAGGCTTGCTGGCACTTGTTTGCGGTGATTTCCCCTCGCCGTTTCCCCCACTTTCCTTCCTCACCCCTTCTTCCCATTTCGCCATTGTCTTCCTGTAACCCTGTTTTCTGTCTGCCAGCCTTTTTCGCTTCAGATATGCTCTGCCCGCCCCCCTCTCCCTGCTGTTGTCTCCTCCAGAATGCCGAATTGAAAATGAATGAAAGGCTGGACTCAATGAAGCGGATGATGGCTCAATTGAATGTGCCTCTCAGGAATGCTCTGCTGTGTTGTGCAGTTTGGTAGACTTTGGTTTGTCGTACAGGGATTCCACCCGTCTGTCTGCTACAGGTGTCGCAACTGGCCGTCGCTTTAACAAAACACGAGTAAAGAAGTACATTTACACTTAATCTGTGCCTTTGTGAACAAAGCAGGGGGCCTTTTGGTTGCACCGTCTTTGGCAGCTCAGCATATCAAAAGGAGGCTCAAAACTCTGTTCAAACCAAACTTCTTCGAGTATTTTGAATGACTCAAAGGGTTTTTGGCGGTCAGCAGGACTGTTAGTGAACATATCTAACTCTGACATCACCCTCACACACCACAACAGCATCCACCGAACACCAACCATAAACGCCAAAGGTCGACGCTGATGAAAACATTTTTAACTCAACTTGGTTTCATTATTTATTCAGTTGCTCTTTCCCAGCAACTTTCAACTTGTTTCCAATATGTGGCCGGAAACCATGAACCACTGCAGAAGTCTTTGTCATGGTGGCCTGTTGCTAAACCTCCTGATACTTTCTTCTTCTCTCACCTCTTTAGGTCGCTACACTATTAAACTGTACGATGCTCCACCTGGTGGGGCAACAAGGCGCTACACCCAATCTACAATACATTTTTCAGACATACACGTCCTTCGTCTGCTGCTTCATCAGTTAATATATTTTTAATCGGTTATATTAGTACCAGTAAATATTCCATTAATGACAATCTGCATATGAATGGTTATTCTTTTTGTATAACTTTAACTGTGACAAAGTTGTGTCCATATTTGGCCATTTTTTAAAATGTTTGCTGCAGATTAGGGGTTGACTGACAGTATTTTTTCCTGTTTCTTTTTTTTCATGTTAATTATCAGTAATTAAGGAGACTGATGACCATCGTTTGGAATACAGTTGCTCTAAAACATTTAATCCCAGTTATACATACATAATAACAAATGAAGTCGCTGTTGATTAGCAGTAGAACTAATTGTACTCAAACACAGTAAAAAAAATAAAATAATAATAATAATATCGTTCAAAAGATGGCAGAAAAGGACATTTTAAAAGCAGAACAAAGCCATGTCCCCTCCCCCAGCCACCCCCATCCCACAAAAAAGCCTTAAAAATAATCTGTGCAAAGCACATTAAGCGCTATACGATTCTGAAGTTCTTGCAATTTACTTGATTATTATTTCTAAATAATTTTTGTTCATCATTTGTCACCATCTATACTATTGTTTCTATTGATACTTCTACTCCACTGTGTTTATTATCTGCCTTTAGTCAGTGGTTACTTCGCAGCTTTAGATTAATATAACAAAATTATCATTATTATTCATATAGCTGCTCCCAATGACTACATGTTTTTACTGTATATTACACTGAAACAGGGTGTTTGTCATAAGGAATACTCAATATTACTTTTATACTTGCTTAGGAAGTATAAGCAGAATGCAGGACTTTGTAGGTTGTGCTTCAGTCAATGATCTCGGTGCTTCTTCCACCACCGCTAAAACACAGACTGTAAACTTTGTGAAGCGAGGAACTGAGTTAAGTGACTGTTTCTGCACAAAGTGCTGGAACACGGTAGAGTCCATTACATAAAAGGGAAGGAACATTTAGACAAAGGCAATTACGGGCACACATTTCCTTTTTGCTTCTCGTCAATGCGATACCTTTGGACTGACTGAAGTCACCCCGAAAAATGTCTTCCTCTCTGAAGGCCGAGTGCGAGGGAATTGAATCAGGAAGCCATTTTCCTGGTCTCGGGTATCAAAAACTCTGAATCAAGTTGAGGCTGATTGGATTATTCACTGCAGGAATTTGAAACTTTGTCTAAATAGGATCAGCCAGGTGTACCAGCAGCCCAGTTTACTGTACTTTTTGACGATTTGATTTGCAGCTTTCAGCAAACAGTAAATTGAGATAGACAAGAATTGCTGGAGTGGCACAATCTCCAGGTTACAGAGAAACAGGAGGAAACAGTGTATGAGCTGAAATAGGGCTTCTAGGCTGAGAAGCAGAATGCTGAATAAAGATGAATATTGACGGTCCCCAACTCGGAGGGTCAAAGAAGTCGGCCTTTTGGTTTAGATTTGATGATTTCAGTCTGTTTCTGAATCGGTCAGTAAGTCGCTGTAGGGAGGTTTATGTACATGTCTTCAAATGGAAAAACAGTTGCAAGGATGGGCCTATGGCGACTTTCAGATTAAATTCCATTTGATTCAAATGATTTAGATAACAATGGTAATAACCATTATGCTCCAATACATTTTTTTTTTTCCTCTTGGCCTCTTGCCAGGCCTTTACCCCCATTCCCACATACAGGAGATTGCCACCAACAAAGCCAGCTTTCTAATGCTCTTAGTGTGGCAGGGAAAGAGTTGTGTGTCTGTGTGTGTGCAGAGTGGTGTGTGAAGTTCAGTGGGATGAATAGTGTCTTTTTCAGTCTTTGTCTGTCTTTTCCCCCAAATTCCCTTTTGGGTAAGCTCACTGCAGATCCGCCTGAACTCGTAAGAGATAATCTTGCTTCTGTGCCAGTGATGGAGTGTTGGGAGGCCGTGGAGGAGGAGGAGGAGGTGGAGGAGGAGGTGGAGGAGGAGGTGGAAGAGAGGTGGATTGAAAGTAGAGGGAGGTAATGAGCAGGCCAGGCTGTATGTGGAGTGTAATTTAGCAGTCATAACCAGAGGAGACATTATAGTATTTCACAGTAAGTAAGCGTGAAACCACAGATTCAGGTGTCAAAACACGGGAACTCTACTCCTCCTCTTAACGCGATCCTATTTTACCTCCCGGCAACTTGTTTTTCTGGCAGGGAGTGTGAAACCAACGGGTTTTGTACCTTGTATCCTAGCAATGAGAGTGGATTGTATACTGGGAGAGAGTGTGTGGCACTGAAAGCCCCTCTTGGACTGACACTACTTGACTTGGCCTCTGCTGCAGGCTTTTTTACACACAAAAACGGATGTAGTCTGTCAGACATAGGTCTGACAGGAATTTCAATGGGAATGAGCTTCCCACAAAGTTTAGTGGACTGCAGTGATGCCAGAAATACAAGTGGTTTGAATGTCAGTGTTTGTGTTAGCAGCACTGAGGCTTGTGATTGGCCCACAGCACAGCGTCCTTCAGGTGTGTCACGTCTGCATTTGATAAATCACATAATACAGAAACCTGATGTATCTCCTCTTTTCTTTGTCCTGCAGGTTGCATTGGGAAAGATGTGTTTTTAAACCAAAGCTGCTGGGAGATCAGGAGGTGACATGCCTCTGTGAAAGACCACTGGAAACAAATGGTGAGGAGTCACATGGTTTATGATGCTCCGTCTTCCTGATCCTGTTTTAACCACCGAGTCTGACTTTGTGTCGTCATAAATACTGAAAGTAACACAAATGTCTTCTTTTCTAACTGTGGGTTCTGTGTTGTCTTCACATGGTGAGTCTGCAGAATGAACAGACTTCTGCAGACACCAGCATGTAGAACTGGTCAAGAGTAGGGGTTGATGATATGTTTTTAATTAAACAAATTAACAACTGACTTTTTGAAACTGATACACATTCGGATACATATACATGACACACACTGGCAGTAAAAATAAAAGTCTCCAACGAAAAGCTTTACTGCTTTTGTTTATTTATGTTTTCCATATACCTCATTGAGCTTTTTAACATTTCCATGCTAATAGGCTATTACATACTAGATCATTTAGACTATTACATACTAGGTAATTTAGACTGTGAGTAGATCCATCATGTGACTTTTACGACCCACAGTTCAGGCCTGTTACCTACTAACCTGCTTCCTGTAAAGAAGCCCCAGAAGCCAAAGTGTGTTTGGTTCCTTTGTTGTTCAATACTTGGATCAGAGTGCACGTTGTCAGCTGGATATTGTCCTGACTGACGCCCAACTTCTGCTTTTGCTGGTGCCACATGAACAGTGTGGAGAGTCTCTGTTGTCTGCTTGCTAATCACATTGGTCATGGAAGACAACAAAAACAGTTTATTTGCAGACCAGTCTGTCGTCTGTCATTCCTCCCAGCCAAGTCAGGGCAAGAACTTATGACGTTTTTACCTAATGACACTAAAAACCCAATGACCCCGGCAGGGAGGGGTCTGCAATCAGCGTTAGCTGGATGGTTGCAGCAGCTATTGGAACACAGCATGTGCAGACCGAACAGACAAGATGTCATCACACACTGAGACCCTAAATGACTTCAGTGCAAAAACAATATGTTGTTGTGGATAAGGAGACCTCGTTTGGCTTTCTTGTGGAAACAAATGTTCTTTGGACTGAGCCATGATGTGCACAGGAAATGAAGAGCAGTTTTAATATTATTTACTTGAAATGGGCTGAATTAAGGATTGTATCATAATAATCTTGATTTTCTGTCTCCACTATGTTCAGCACAGACAGTCAGTTACAGAATGAACAACAAATACACAGCAAATTGTGATCTCTGTAGTTATGCCTGTAATAAAAAACATGTTTGACAAATCCCGTTACAGTAAATGCCAGCATCCTTTCTGACATCCTGTCTTCCTTCCTGTAGCTCTGCTGCCATGCCTCCGGGGATGGTACGTCGTCTTACAGTGTTGGCAGTCCACGCACTGCTGCTAGCCATCGGCTGGCCAACAACTTCATTACCCAATGGTGTGGCCCAAGCGTCAGACTTCTCCCACTCTGATCTTTATCCCACCTTTATCCGGAATGACACTCTGTTTGAACACCTGGCCCTGCACCCTGACCCCAGCGTGGGTCGGGTCTACGTTGGAGCCCGAGATCACCTGTTCCAGTTGGATCGGTTCCTCCAACCTGAACTCCAGGATGACACCGGACCGGTCACAGACAGCCGGGAGTGTTTGCCTCCTGTAACCGAGACCAACTGCCCCCAGGCCAGAGAAACCAGCAACCACAACAAGCTCCTGCTGGTTGATCCGTACTCGATGGAACTTATTACCTGTGGGAGCGTCAACCAGGGAATCTGCCAGAAACGTAGTCTGGACTCAGTGGATATAGTACTGTTCTCCACTGAGAGGCCGGTGGACACTCAGTACGTAGCAGCTAACCACCCCAACGTTAGCACTGTTGGGCTTGTGGTTCGCTCTCATCCCGACAGGCAGCCGGTGCTGTTTGTGGGTCGGGGTTACACCAGCAGCCATCCGCCTATTTCCACACGAAACCTTGCACAGGAACCCGTCTTTTCCTACGAGGAGACGGCCAAGTTGGCCGTGGCTGGCCGCCTCTCTGAGTACGACCATCATTTTGTGGCCTCGTTTGCTCACCGTCAGCACGTTTACTTCCTCTTCTACAGGCGAGACCTGAAGTCGCAGTCGCGCGAGTATCGTACCTACGTATCTCGTGTGTGTTTGGATGACCAGGCCTATTACTCGTACGTGGAAGTACCCCTGACATGTCGCTCCAGGGCGGGTAAAATTTACAACCTTCTGCAAGCTGTCCAACTCGGGCTGTCCAAGGACGGTGGAGAGAGCCAAGGTTCAGAGAGTCTACTTGGTGTCTTCTCTACTCGTTTGGCTTCATCAACTCGGCCCAGCGAAGACTCGGCTCTTTGCATGTTTAGCCTTGAAGATGTGGACCGACGGATCAACTCCACCAGGGACCTGTGCTACACACAGATGGGCAAAGAAGCTGGTCTGGAGGCGGCCTACATCGAGTACGAGGTCAAGTCCAACTGTGCCAACCTGCCAGAGGTGAGCCTGAATTTGTTATTTCTATGGTTATTTACTGTCATTGGGTCAAAACAAGTGCGAAGAAATAAGCACAACGCATCATTTTTTGGAAATAATTTTGATTCAACCATTGCAGCCAAATTCTAAACTACATTGACAAGTGGTGAGCTTCCAGCTGACTCCTGATTTGTTGTTGTGGGAACTTTACTGTCAGACACTCGACTCCCACTCTATGGTGGATTTTACAACTTAGCTGTTACCAGAATCCACACATTTCTTTGACTATGTGTATGTTTTCACATCTAAGTCTTTAACAAGCAAATGAATGTTGTCAGGCTTGAGGAGCAACATATGGGACAGTGAATAATATATTTCTTGTAGTCATAAAGATATTTAAAAAATAGCATTTATAAAAACAACACTGAATTAATTATAGATAGAATAAAATGGGAACCAATTGCACTCGACTAATTCAAAAGAACTGATGATGCCAAATCCTTAAACAGGAAATAATATATCGAGCAGTTTCTGGATGTTTTTCAGCTCCTGTCACATTTTTACTCCATTTAGGCTCATTTTTTACTGCAATGTAAAGTACCGCAGCACTATGGAAACAGAACAAGAATGTCTAGAAGCAACGGGAACTCAAAAATGTCTTCTGCAGTATGGGTCATGAATTATTTAAGAAAAAAAGGAAAATAGATTTTTTTTGACAGAAGTCAAGAAGCTCCTCACTCCTGGTCCAACCTGGCAACTCTGTTCACTGAGAAATTTCAGATTCAAGTACAATCCTGTTGCTGTAGTTCGTCCATACTGCTCCAACAAAGAGAGCTGCAGTTTAATGACAGGGCTACGATGCACTATACTGACATCTTGCTATATTTAATGCTTCATTGTTGTGCCAATGGAGGAGTGGAGAGCTATAGCGTTGGTTAATAAAAAATAATAGTGCCATAGACGATAAAACTGTGAGCCTAAAAATAATTTTGGTTCTAAAAAACAAGTTTTATTATCTTCCTTCTTTCAATAACTACCACAAAATTACACATTAGTAAGTCGCTCTCTCCAGTGAAACCACAGTGAAGCACAGATAGCGGCGGCGGCGCTCCACTCCCTGGTGTCAGTGTTGGTAATTGTATGTTTGTGTGACAGAGTGTTACTATAAAGAAAAACGACTGCCTGCAAGAATAATGGTGGCCTTGTGCTTTATTGTGTAAAAATGTCATTTGGGGTTATTAAGAACTTCTCCCATTTATTTTTTTTTTACTTCTCAGAGACAGAAGGTGAATTAACCCGGGGTTTCAGTCGGTATATTGCAAACTCAGCAGCCTGCCGCGGCTAAGTATCTGGGAAGGTGTTTTTTTTAAACTCCAGTTCCAGTCGGGTGGTTCGGTTTAAACAGACATAATGGTTGGAAAGCCCACCAGTGGTGTCTCACATTTGCGGCTCCATCGAGTCAGCAATGCTTGGCGAACACCTCGTCCTTGATAAGTTACCTCAGAGACTATAGCAGGCGACCTTAATGCTGCCATCAGTCTGGCCTGTGCTGGATCCTCATCAACTAACACAGTTGGCTGCAGTTGTGTAGCTGCTGGAGGCTCCATCAGTCTCCTGGAGGACTGTCAAAGAATCAAAGACGTTTTTAGCAGCCGTCTCTCTACCTGCCGTCTTTGTGTCGCCTGTCATTCAGGTGTGAATAAAAACTACTTTTCTGGCAGATATTGTGAAACATCCCGTTGGACACGACGCTCACCGACACAAACCTCCTTGTTTTTATGGTTCTGTTTACAGAACACGTCCAGTTCTGTGTTGTCCAAGTTACTCTTCATTTATTTTGGCGATGACTGTCCTGAATAAAAGCTTTCATCCTGCCAAAGCTCGTGCCATGCATCTGAAGCTGTCCAGGTCCGTCCCCTTCCAGCAAAGTGACCTTTGCATGAGAGAGGATGAAATTTAATTTGACTTTTTTTTTTCTGTAATGCTGTGGAGGACGGATTGAATTACGTCTCATAGCACCAAATCTGAACATCCTGACTTTAAGATGATGTGTTTGTGCGCATTCCGGTTAAACTTTGCATTTGGAGTGGTATTATGGGCTAGTTTCACATCTCCTTCTATCATCACTACCTTTTCTTTTTGTTGAGGATGTGAGACCTTCAACCTGTGCAGCCATGTACAGCAGACTGGCTCGAGGGGGAGAAGGTAGTGCGGGTGGTGTAATTAAATAAAATTGCTGTTGAGGGAGGCATCGATCGGCGGCATTAACCGTACTTAGTTGGGTGGGGTTGGCGGTGATGTTTAACAAGGCCTGACAAGGACGGGGATAAAGACACACCGGGTAGAGACAAAGGTCTGAAGGGCAGAGAGAAAACGCCAAGGAAAGGAAAATAGCTGGGAATACGGGTTTTGTTTTTTGAAAGTCATCATGAAAAAAGGGAACTAAAGGGAAGCCTTACGGTTAGAGGGGGACAATGTTGAGACAAAAATGAGACTGAAAGGAGATTTACAGTAAGATTACGATGTCAAATGGTGATGGGATCCCTGTAAACAAGCCCATCTGCAGACTCTCACGCAAGCTTCTCAGCTGTCGGGGAGAAAAACGATCGTTACTTATGATCAGGGACTTGATTTTGGGACTTGTACTGAACAATGTAGTGGCCAAAATGCAACTTTAGGAGTCTTTTGTCATCGTCTTACTCCCTCATGGTTATTACTCTCCTCAGATGATTGCAGTCTGCACAGCACTTATCAGCATGTGTCATTACAGCGTAATCACAGCCTGCGATGAGCCAAACCAGCCTGTCACATGCCAATATTTAAGCTTCCAGGCCGTGTTTCCAGACTGGACGTCATAACTTCATAACTATTTCAGTAGCCGTAATGTAGTTTGGGGCTATTCTTAGCATGCAGTCATCTCTGCTTGTTTTGATTGGGGTCTTATGTACACTGTATACGCTATACCTCACTTCCCATGCGTATCTTATTTTTACAACCCGGTGTAAAGTTCTGTGCACTTTTTTGAATGAGGAAGATATCCCGACTGTACCGGTTGTATCTCAGCCGTACAAGATCAGCGGTGCTTGTACATGAGCAGTCTCTATTTCTTTAGCACAGGCCAAATAAGGAGCCCATTCATAACATCACACCAGCCAACAACATGCAATCCATCAAAACAAGTAGCTTTCGGCGGCCAGGGCTCTCAGGTTCATTGCCTCTATTTCCCATTGTTAAGATTACCAATGATGAAGCAATGACCCTGCTTTCAAACATTCTTGTGGAAAAATAAATTGCCCGGAACAAAAAACAACAGCCCTGCCGCCAGAGCAAAGACTCCCTGCTGCCAAACTGTGGAAGCAAAAACAAATCTTGTGTAAGCTTTAAAGCACAGAGCGTGGAAGCCACTGGATCCCCGTTATACTTTGTTCCCAAACCCCAACCCCCTTCTCAATAAACCCTGCTGGGATTTTACGAACCACATTAGGAGCAGTGCTGATATATTTTTGGCTACTGACACACCGGCTGAAAAATTAATAACAAATCACTTAAAGGGCTTCATTTTTGTTCAGAACAAGTTTTGCAGTTGACGTTTTTCCAGCTTCCATGATGCTGTAGTCACTGAACATGGACTTGTCTCCACCATCAGAACACCCTGGACGCCTACCCTTGCGGCTCCGACCACACCCCCAGCCCGATGGCCAGTCGGATCGCCGTGGAGGTTGAGACTATCCTGGACAGCCCGTCCGCCCGTCTCACCGCCGTGGCCGTCAGCGTGAGGGCGGGACATACCATCGCCTTCCTGGGAGACTCCAAAGGGAACCTGCACAAGGTAACTCACCGCTGCAGACTCCAGGACGTGCACAGACAGGTTGTCGACCTGCGTCTGTTCCGACACACACAAAAAAATCCATAACAAGAGGAGTTTTGTGCATGAGCTAGCTGTGATGTTATGCAGAGATTGTGATGTTATTTCTGGAAATTCAGTGCGCTCGACAACTTGGGTCATTATTTTGACTCGAGAGCCTATTTGGGGAACATGTGTCGGCTGTTCCTTATGTAACTGTAATACTTGCACCCAGATGTGACAGTCAACTCAACAGACATCCAGTTCAAGTCGTTTCTCTGTTCACCTTCAGACGCTGGTTTCTGTCTGTTCCTTTGCCAGCTAGAGGAGGTTTAAAATAGTCTGTGTGAGCAGGAAGGCGGCAGAAATGATCTCAAGAGCAGAGTCCTGGTTTGAAGATCGTACTAAGATTTTATGTAGATGTTTCTATTGTATTAACTCAGCTCACTCATTATACGACAGGAACATAGACCAACAAAATCATCAGTGTTCTCCTGATAAATAACTTGATTTTTCTCCAAGACCACTGATCCACTAATAAACAGAGTATAAGACACACATACGATATGAAACACTGATTCCTTAGTTTTAAAGTTCAGTATCACAAAGCTGATATTGCCAACGACCTCCATTTTTGACCAATGGGCTGCAAGTAAACTAAACCTGCATATTTCATGTATGTAAATGAGCATCACTCTGTGTTTAGCGTCAGAGCCGGTGCCTGATAACTTGATGGGAGGCTTGAAGACAGAAAAGAGGGTCACAGTTGCTGCAGCTGCCCAATTTGTTGCAGCTGTTGCTGTGTTTTGTTTTCTCACCTTTAGGTTGTGATTGCAAATTGCTCGACATCGTCTCAGTCTGTGTTTACTCTGGATGTCTTAATACACAAACTTCCCCTCAGTGTTGCAATCAGCCTGAATTTCATCAAATGTAATTACAGTATTAGTCTCATTGTTCGATAGCCACACGTTGTGTGTTCTGATTTGTGATTTGCCAGACGGCTGATTGTTCAGCCTCACTAGATAAGTTTGAGGTGTTTCCTTCTTTCTGTGCCACAGTTTGCATTCTGGCTTTTGCTCCATACACGACTTTTTCAGTCCTTTTTTCTCCCTTTAGGTTGCAAAAGATCTGTTTCTGCACGTTTTCTGTTTCTGTTGTTGTTGACCAATACTTTAGCTTCTTTGCTTTCACTAGTTTTTAGAATTTTGGTATCCACGCCTCATAGGTCGACACGTAAAATGTTTTTAGACACATTTTTTCATTCTCACATCAGATGGAACAGATGTGCTCCAATTTAGTTCAATTAATTTGACTAGACAGGTGGCGAAACAGCCTGTGTACCTGAGCTGAAGCAAATGATAAGCTTTTGGATTATTTTCTGGCATTTTAACTCCCGGTTTGAACAGAAAACCTTGACATCCTGCACACCGTCAGTCGCTTAAAGTTATTAAATTAACAAAAGCGTACTCCATTTTAAACGAGTTGCCTGTAATCCAAGGGTAAAAAAAAAAAAAAGACTAAACCACTAAAATCTCCAAATGTGCATTTCTGTTATCAGGATGAAAGCTGACAACAGCACAGTTAGCTAACAGCTGATTGACTTTAGAAGAATAAAATGATCATTGAAAGGCCAGTAGATTGAATGCATCCATCAGTGGTTTTCTTGTGACTGTTTTTGTTTTTTACATGTGAAATAAGTTCAGTGGTATCTGTCAAACACTTTCTTGTCTTCTAAACCTTTTTTTTTGGAAACAGGGATGTTGTCCTGCAGTTGGAAAACTAACGAAGCTCGTTTCATCTGGCAGAAACTAATACAACAAGCTCACTGATGATTGGTTTTTACACTGTGTTTATTGGTTTTTTGTTCATTTTTTGGACGAGCGTTAGTTTGTTTTGTTGTTGAACTAAAGTGCATCATGTTGTGAAGTGTTTTGCCAGTATTGGTTGTTTTCTTCGTGGTCAAGGCCTGGCTGGTGGACAGGAACAGGAAGCAGTTAATCAGAGCTCGTCTATTTATAACAAAAGCTCAGTCTGCGACATGGGGGGCGGTTGAGCTGCTACTTGGTGCCACTCATCAGAAATGCCTTTCTGTCACGCTGAAATGTGGACTGTAAACGTTGGGCTCCATTTTCAGATCGTGTGACGCTCCACCGAGGTGATGTTGACCTCGGGGTCGCTCAGTGGGGGTCACTCATGGCAGAGTCATCTGTAGGTTCAGGCAGAGGTCACGGTGAAGCTCTGTCACACACAATAAGACAAGGAGTGCCCTGTTGGGGATAGAAAATCAAGAAAAAGCCAGGGGATAGCAAGTGTTTGTGATTGAGTAGAACATGTACATTTGTTGAGAAGCCTCTAAAGCTATTCAGGACATTTCACTTGTTAATCACAGAAAATAGTGTACTTGTTTGTGTTTTGATTATTCGTAGCTTCAACTCGGAGGTCAGGGAGGTTGTAGAGAGATCCATTGATATGAGGAGTTTACAGATCGTGAGCCCACTGGCGCACAGTTGGCTCTTTGTGCCGTTTTTTTCTCCGTGGTGGCTTGTGGTCGGGGCCCCCTGCACAAGCAGAAATAGCACAATGACGGCCATTAACATATTTTTACACAGTTACGTCACCCGGCCAAACCTCGAGCTGTACATCACTGTGTGCATCTGATGCAGCGCCACGGTTTTGCCGTGCACTGTCATCGCTGACTGGCAGACACGCACTTCCTAACAGAGAGGCTCATTCATATTTCTGCAGAGTTATCAATCAACAGCAGACAGTGTCGGTGTCACTGTCATTAATAGACACATTGTCAGTCTGCGGCCTCCTGACTGGATCTGCCAACCATGAACATTTACATCCAGACTTGGGCAGCAGCCGACTGTTCCATACTGTAGAAGTGTGGGATTTTCCAACTGTAGACGTGTGTCACTGTGCAGGGAAATGAATAAAATGTGTTGAAAAGTAAAATACAGACTTCTAGAGACAAATAACCTCACAAATCCAAACATTTACTTTCTTCCTTTTTTTTTCTTGTGCTGAGAAAATGAGATTTGTGTTCCCTCAGTGTTCAGTAGGACACTGTGCCCTCTATTGGCTGCCATAGTTACAGTCTGAGGAGAAATTTTGGTGAATTGACAAACAAATAAACAAAAAAAAAAAACAAACAAACATATATTCAGTAAATGCATGTACAGTCAAAGTATTTAGACTTCTTCCCTTTTGCACGATAAGTTAAGCTGTAGATTTATTTTAAAATGGATAAAATTACATTTTTATTCATCAGTCTGCACTTAATAACTCTGAGTGAATGTGAGAATGTGCATTTAGAAATATTTGCATTTGTTTGTATTCAAACCCTTTGTTCGGTACCGTTTGGCTGCAGAGTAGTCCGGTATTTTCAGGTAAGTCTTCTCAAGCTCTGTACACCTGGATTTATGCAGCATATCCCATTCTTCCTAAAAGATCATCTCAGGCTTTGTCAGGTTGCATGGGAAACATCTGAACGTCCATCTTCAGGTCTCTGCCCAGATGCTTTGTGAAGTTTAAGTCGCTCGGGGACAGTCGGACTCGTCCTGAAGCCACTTCAGTGTTTGCTTTGGATCACTTTGTAAAGCAGTAAAATCCTAAAGCAGGATTGAAGCAATAAAGCCTTGTACTTGGTGACATTATAAGACTCTATACAGTCACACACAGTCTGTTTTTCTTGACAAACATCCGTGTATTTGATTGATTCATCTGTGCATGATGCTGCCACCACCGTGCTTCACTACAAGGACACTGTTAGCAGGTGATGAGCAATATGTAGAGTCCAGTTAATGTCCCAGAACAGAGAATCTTTTTCTTATGCTCTCAAAATCCTTTAAAGCAGGCTGTCATGTGCCTGTTACTCACGTTGCCTACGTCTAGCTGCCCTTCCATAAAGGCCTGATTGATGGAGAGCTGCTGAGATGGTCGTCCTTCCAGTCGGGTCTTCCAAAGCTCTGTTGAAGGGTTCTGGGTCACCTCTCTGACCCAGACGTTGCTCAATGTGTTGCTCAGTGTGAGTGTGGATTGATGGACTAAAAGTACCAGATAGATTAAATTTGCCAAAAGGAAACATGTCTGACTGCTTTCCAAAGCCATTGTGTCTGTATTATATCCATGTTGACATTGTGGTTTCAACCATACTGGGAGCACTGGTTAAATGTGAGCTCAGACTCCAGGAATTTGTCAGTCTGACTATTTGTGCACTTCGCTGTTGGTTTAGGTTTTTATTCTCCTCTATTAGCTGTACTTGTTGAGACATGGATAAGATGTTCATTGACTTTTTGTCTCCTCACTGTGCTCACACTGAACATTGTGATGCTGCCTCTGTGCTCCAGCTGAAAAAGGCCTCTCTGTTTGTTGTTGCTGAAGCTCCTCAGACACTCAGCAGTTTATTTCCCAGCTGATTAAAGCGCTCTTCTTTGTAGATCAGTGTTTATGTGTAATGTCTTGTTCTCATATTAAATCATGGGGCTTCCTGTTTGTTCTGCCAAGTCAGCAGCCAGTAATGCCTCAAGTGGCAGCGAACCTCTTTTTTATTTTTTATTAGTCGTTCCACAGCTTTGCTAACAATGCGTTAAATGAGCTACGTGGTCACGAGCGTGATGCTGGAACACATGGTTCAGGGAACGCAGCAAATGTTTGAGAATGTGTTCGTGCTTTTAATAGGCCGAGTGTTTGATGTCCGTAAACAGAGGCCGATGTGACGAAGCAGGATTTGAGGTTAGCCGGGTAACTCCATGTTTAATCCTGGGTTTCTGACATCACCGTGGTAACGTGCTGCACACTGAACCTGCTCCGGTTATGTTCCAGGTAAAAGCTCGGCGCTGATCGAAACCGGTTAATTTTTTCAGAAAATCATTCCTGGAAGATCCCTCAGAGCTCAGATAGTGAGCGGTTCCTAAGAAGGCCTGATAAGCAAAGATATGAAAGATATAAATCCTCCAATCGTCCTCACTTTGGGTTTTTTATTTTTCTTTTTCGTGTTGACGGCAAGAAAAGTCAAAACAATTTTATTGTTCTTCAGGCCTTTGCACGGCAATATGATCCTAAAACAGAGATTGATTAAAGTAATAAAGCCGTGTACTTGTTGACCTTATAGCTCCTTACAGTCACCGGTATGACTGATGCTTTTATATTTGTTCATCCTCCCAAGAATAAACAATGAGGCTGAAGCTGCCGTACACATGAGAAGAACACATGAAGGCAACACGTTCATTTAATGAGGAACACACATGTACAGGGCAGTGATATTGATAAGCCCATTTATTTTACACATTCATGCGGTCAGTATTTATTTATTTTTTTCCAGCTTTACTTCCTGATTTTGACGGCAGCAGTTGTGTTGCTTTGAGCCTGGATTATAGTTTTAAATTCCACATATTGGTTCAGGCTTATAGTTGATCCTATTGTGAGAAGTACGCAGCTCTCGACCTGTCCATGTGTGCAACTGGTCATCCGGTGCCCACATCACCCGTTTTTTCCTAAACGAGCTTAGAGCTGGATTCATTCTTTGTGGTTTATATTTCTCATGTTGTCAGTGACTGTTGATCCTTAGAGGAGCACAGACTGTAATTTATTTTTTTGTGATCTTTTTAGAAATATAACCCTTCTGGTGGCAGTTTCTGTTAAACACAGAACAAATTCAGAATCTTTTTTTTCTGGAAGCTTAATTCAGAATGGTCACTGTAAAATGGACGAGCCGGGTCAAGAAGGAAATGAAGCATCGTCTTTTATATAGCAGATGGGTTAGAGGTTAGTAGCTGGTATCCAGTATAGTCGTCCAGAGACGCCACGCAGACTCGTTCTGTCTCTCTCGTAACCTCGCATATTCTGTCGATGGAGTAAGAGCTGCTCTCAGAAGGGCGCAAAGCAGTGAAAGCCAACGTGGCTTGAACATTTATACGAAGAAGATGGTTTTATAGCAGAACCTTCTGCTGGGTGAGAAAATCGAGCGGCCAAATGGCGTGTTTGCAGCTTGTACTAGTGACCCATCACTGGCCCTTCTGCAGATAAACACAGTGCGCTTTGATTGGTTAATTGCAGCTGCTAGAAATAACAAGAAAACTAAATGAAGCTGAAGCTGGCACTTTAGACACAGGAACCAGTGTGATTGTAGGTTGAGTCTAATTCCTGAAACCTCACCAGCCTTATAAACTGCTGCTGACTGCTCAGGATTCCTCCTCTAAATGTTTGTTTTGCTGAGGTCGGCTCAGTGCATCCTGCTGGAAGAAAGACGGGTTTGTGCTGCGAGTATGCAATGGTTGTTACCCAGAATTCAGTTTACCCCTCTGTCTTACATTTCCCACTCCTCATTTGACAATTGTGTTGTTTTATTTTGCAGATTTTGTGGGTTTTTTAGGGCATAGATGGTGCCCTGATGTGTGTTCCTCTTCATTCACCTGCAGAAGGACAGGGATGTTATTTAGTCGCTTGTCTTTGCCCCTCCATCTGTTGCGCAGTAGCAATAATTTGTTGTAGTCTGAATGGACAGGTATTAAATCCAGGACAGTCTGTCTTTGAAGAGTTGTGGGATCAAAGAGTGCTGACTGCATAGCTGACCTCAAATCTCCCTCATACCTGAAGGATTAGATTAGCCCAGCATCAGTGAGCCATATCACCATATCATATTCATCACACCCTTCAGAGGCTGCTACTGCTCACACACACACACACACACACACACACACACACACACACACAGAGCGGTATCTACGCCTGAACTCACAGAGCAGATCCTCCTGACCTGCGCTGGATTTTCCCATTTGGATGATTGCCGTCTTTGTTCCAGCGGAGTTGCCCTCGCAGTGAAATAACTCACTAATGACATTAGATGGAATGAAGCTGATGTTCAGGCTCCTGTAAATAACATCAAAAGGCTGATGTGGAGCAGTTGGTCAGGCTGCCCCCTCGCATTAACCCACATTACGGCAGCTATGGACTTTTAACAGCCAGCGCGGTGTCGGACTGAGGCCTCCTAATGCTGTCTGACTGTCTGTTGGTTCCGACTGTGACTTGAGTTCTTGTCGCTGTACTGTCAGACCTCACTTTGTCTCACCAGCCCGTGGGCTTGGAAACATCTCTAAACACAACTGTGTGTTGGCACCGACTATCTGGATTTGGCTCATCATCCTCATTTCCTTTATTGGTGTTGCTCTGCACGGTTAAATTCTGCTGATTTTCCTGCTCAGTGCGTTTACAGTTGTTGGCGCGTGTGGGTCTATATATGAAAATAGATGTATAAAACTAGCTTAATTTTTCCAGATGGAGCTATGAGGAATGAAATGATGTCACTTCAGCCAATTGGGTCTAAAAACAATAAGTTTTAAACAAAATAATCGGTAGCCTGCTGGTCGGCTCTGCTGCAGGTTAGACTTGTGGCTTAATTAGACGCCACGAATACAACATCGTCTTTGGTCCTTTAGGGTTTAGGAGAATTTTCTTCATTTTGTTTTCAAACTAATGAACTGAAGCTTCTGATAAAATCCCCTCAGTATCCTCTTACGTGCTTTTTTTCACAGCTTTCCACACATACATGGAAGGTTTCTAATCTGAAGCTACACTGAAGAGTGTCGGACCTTTAGCAGCCGTATGGGACACTGTTTTTACGAGTGCATCCCTGTTGTGTTGTGTCCCACCGGTGATGCTCTACACATTCCTGCTAATGCTTTAGAACACACCAGGAAATGCACTGACTGAAATAAAGACTACTGGTTCATGCTAACGATGCGAGTTCATGAATAATGTTTAATGATGAAGGAACATGTTTGATTACAAGAAACTTTCTACAAGTTCCTTCCTCATCTTGAAAACAGCCAAAATAGTTTAATTAAGATCGACTAAGGTTTAAGTTTAGAGCTTGCAATGTCATAAACAGACAAATTAAGTTCTTACAGCACGTCTGGTTACGTCCTTTAACGGACCTTTAGGGTGCAATGAAAATTACAATAAGGAAATACAATTAAGTTGACTATTTTTATCCCTCTGTGCTCTTGAAATTTGGCACAAACATTCACTCGGTCCCAAAGAACTGATTAGAATTTGGAGGGCAAAAAAACATATTTTGGCTTTAACTCAAGATTGAGATCTTCCGCGCTAACGGCTAACAGGATAAACTAATGAGGTGATGACGTTCTCCCTCCAGAAGGTTAAAGGTTCTGCAGAAACCCTGTCGTGGACATTTTTCAACAGCAAAGTTCAGAGACATTGTCACCGTATTTCACGTTTGGTCAGATGCTGAATCGGTGGCGGCATTGTTGGGAGTCTGATTGAGACTGTGGTGATCGTGTTGAGTGGAAGGTTTTGTCTGAAGCGTCTACGTTTCAGAGTTTGTAGCTTCTTTGCAGGAACATATTTGGAGCGTTGTCTACGGTCACTTTGTGTTCTGTCAGAATCAGTTTTATCGGCCAAATGTGAACACAATCACAGAATTACAGTCCTGACTTGACATTCTGACCTTTAACAATCCGAAAACCTTCCTATCCAACAGGTTTTTAGGAACAAATCTGGACAGACGTGGATGTAAAATGCAACTTGACCAGTTAGTAGAGGTGTACAGCCATGAGGTGGTAAATTCATGGGGTGTTAACAGAAGAACATTATGAAGAGACTCGGTTCCAGCTCATATTTTAAATGTACATGTGTGCATGTGTTCTCTCAGGTGTTCTTGGGACCAAACGGCGAGGTGGAGGAGTACTCTGTGATCCCTGTCCAGCCCAACACCGCCATCAGCTCAGACCTCATCCTGGACCAGAAAGAGGAGCATCTCTTCATCATGACCCACAACATGGTGCATATACTCAACACACAGAGATGCAACCTTCCTGTGCTGTAGCTAAAAACAGAAATCATTCTGACTCTCTGTTTCTGCCCCAGTTCTCCCTCTTCTGCAAAAGGCGGCATGTAGTTGGGATTATTCTAATGACCATATTTTCAATTTGCATTGTTGTGTTGAGAAATGTGGGCCAGCTATTCTGTTTTTTTAATCAGATTTTTTAGAAGCTTAGTGTGGGTGGTTTGCACGACTGAACATGATTGTGCTGTCCCGCTTCCAGCTGCAGAAGAGGCCGGTGGCCGAATGCCAGCAGCACACCGACTGTCAGTCCTGCCTGCTGGCCCACGACCCGTACTGTGGCTGGTGTGTCCTGGAGGGAAGGTGAGACAAACAGCTACAGAGATGCTCTCATCTGGTTGAAGGATTCACAGTTGGTAGCATGTCAGTCTTAATAATAACAGTAACTTTATTTATATAAAACCTGTACATACAGAGTTTACAGAGAACTTTAGACAGAGCAAGAAGGAAGAGAAGGATCAGTCCAAGTCAGCCCAAACAAAAACGGCAAAAGTAGAGAAACACATAGAACTTTTTTTTGGCAAAATAAGTCAATAACACAAAACCAGATAGAAAAATAAAAGAAGCAAAAACACTGGATCCAACCAGGAAGAAGAACAAGTGGAAGGAATGGAGGGTAAAAAAAACTACATTCTAAAAGGATCAAAACAAACAAATAAAATAAGTGAAATGAAATAAAGTAGACAATAAAATACATGACAAGTATCAAGGAGTGATTTAAAAGGAGACTGATTCTGCATCTCCTCACGTCGGTCGTTCCAAAGGAGAAGAGTCCAGATCGTAAAAGCTCTGCCTCAGATTTCAGTTTCGACTTTTAAACGGTCTGAAGGACAAATCTGAAGATCTGAGGCTCACATGGGGTCCAGAATTCTGTTAAATTAATTTGCAATTGTCTTCATTTTTGATTACATTTTATCGACTCTCACTAGTTGCAGCACTTGTTTGTTCCTCATTTTTCAGCGTTGTATAAATCTCAATTATATATTTATTGTTTATAAGACAAAGTTTCCCAAATTTCAAATGAAATGTGTGAAAGGGTTCATTTCTTACCCAGAGAAAGTAATCCAGAACATACTATCACATAAAAACTACTGAATATTATTAGTAGCTTCCACTGTTATTGTTAAAGGCGGTCCAGTTAGCAGCAGACTGTTCAATACGACATACTGAGTGTTTATTTCTTCACTGATGTGTGTGTATCTGTATGAATGACTGTAAATGTACAAATAGTCCAGCACTTCTTCTAACTTATAAACATGTTGACCAGCAGAACACCGAAGGTTTCAGTCTGTTAGGACTTGTCCAGTCAAAGCAAGTCACCAGTAAGGTTTTTAATTTGCTGTATAAAAACCAGTAAGATGCCTTCACTTACTAATGAGTTTAACCTTAAGAGTAGGCAATTACCTGTATTTAGCTGTCTGCAGGTTTAAGCACTTTCAGTGAAGGACTTTGTCTTTTGCTGGGATAAAAAAGTACAAATCCGAGTGTTTTTTGACTCAGTTTTCCTGGGCTGCAGCCACTGTGGCCACAAGTCCAGAGTGATTCACTGAAGCACGAGTAGAGACGACCCACGATGGCACAAACATGACCGAGCATCAACGTACTGGTCATTTAAAACCAAGTAAAGCTGAAGCAGCAGCCATCTCTGTACATTACAACAGATAAAATGTGCTTTTATTGCCTATGAGTCGAATGTTTTTTTCCATTATTCATAGACTTTTATAACAAGATTTGTTCTGAGCAAAGTCCGTTATAGATGATGTGCACATGAAGCTGTGAAGTGTTTTCATTAAGATTCACACAAGTCTGACTGGAAAAAAAAGAGAGACGAAACCTGCTGGCAGCATGTTTTAGATGTCGACGTGTTTTTGCCAAGTCATGTTTAAACCGACTCAGTTTGGCCTGATGGGGTTTCGTCTGAATGTGATGAAAGAACTTCGTCCCATCTGGGTCTCCTCCCCGGTCCTCTCCTTCCCCCTCTGCTCTGCCTCACCAGCTGGCCTCCACCTCTTTTTCCTGCATGTTTTGCTGCCTCAGTTTCCATGTTTACTTCTTTCATTTTCCTCCAGCTTTCCTGACCAGCCAGATTTTATTTTTTTTTTCTTGATGTTGTTTTTTTACTTTATAAACTGAAGTTTTTGTAGCTGGAGTGGAAACCAGACCAGTACATACTGAAAATGATTTAATGTGATAGTGAGCGTAACTTGTTCTTGTAGAAACGGTGAGTATGGTTCCTGTAACGCTGATGTTTCCCCTCCAGGTGTGTGCTGAAGTCCCAGTGCAGCCGTGGGAACCAGGCCGGTCAGTGGCTGTGGAGCTTTGACATGGAGCAGCAGTGTCTGACCGTCCAGGACCTGAACCCGTCCAACGTCAGCAGGGAGGAGAGCAGGACGGTGAGTCTGTAATTCATCTACATCAACTCAAGCAGCGAAGAAGCAAAACAGAACTGGAGTATAGACAAAGGACTGGAGGGAGGAGGACGATAATCTTTGTTTACGGAGCCTGTTGACATAAACGCACCTTTTTTTTTGGTTTCTTTTGAATGAAGTGAGATAATTTTCCACCTCAGGCACCGACAAGCTCTTCTTCAGAATCCCTTCCATTACAAAATACACAGATGTCTTAACTTTGAATCCAGGATGGAATCATAGCCTCCTCACATACCAAAACACCCCCAAAGCTCAGGGCAACACATCGACTCGCTGCAACTCATCCCGGATCCCTTATCGGCTGAGCTCGGAGATTTACTGTACCGGAGGATGTGGGTGATGTGTGAGCAGCCGTGTCATGGGAAGATGCTGATCGCGGCCCTGTCCTGTCATGTCCGGGTGTTGTAGGAAAGCAGCGGTGGTATCTGTCATCTGTCTGAAAGATGGAAACACAAAATATATACACAATACGCACACTGTGCTTCAGAGGATGAGTCAAGGACAGCTGCTGGTTGGATGCTTCTGAATAACTTATTTAAATTATCCCTGAATCAAGCCTGTGTTTAATTGGGAACGTTCACTCACCTGCACTGTATGAAGTATAACTTGCTGGTACCAGGTAGGACCCCGTTTGCCTTCAGAACTGCCTTAATTCTTCATGGCAAAGATTCAACAAGATCCTGGAAACATTCCTCAGAGATTGTGATCCATATTAACATGATAGCATCCTGCAGTTTTGTCAGCTGCACATCCATGATGCAAATCTCTTGTTCCAGCACATCCCAAAGGTGCTCTGCTAGATTCAGATCTGGTAACAGTGGAGGCTGTTGAAATACAGTGACCTTGTCGTCATGTTCGAGAAACCAGTTTGAGATGATCTGAGCTCAGTGACATGGTGTGTTATCAGAAGATGGTCCACTGTGGTCATAAAGGGATGGAGGTGGTCAGCAACAGCACTCAGGCAGGCTGTGGGGTTTATACGATGCTCAAGTTGTACTAAGAGGCCAAACGTGTGCCAAGAAAATATCCCCCACATTATTACACCATCAGCATCCTGAACTGTTGATTCAAGGCAGGATGGATCCATGCTTTCATGCTGTTTACACCAAATTCTGACCATCTGAATGTTGCAGCAGAAATCGAGTCTCGTCAGACCAGCCAACATTTTTTAAATCTTCTGTTGTCTGGTGTTAGTGTAGTTTGTTGCCTTAGCTTCCTGTTATTAGCTGACCCACGTGGCACCCGGAGGTCTTCTGCTGCTGTAACTCATCTGCTTCAAGTTCAGAGATGGTCGACTTTGTAATGAGTTGGAGTTACTGTTTCCTTTCTGTCATCTTGAACCAGTTCCACCTCTGACCTCTGGCATCAATGAGCCAGTTTTATCCAGAGAACTGCTGCTCAGTGGATATTTTCTCTTTTTGTACCATTCTCTGTAAAACCTAGAAAGGTCCCAGTAGAACAGCCGAACCATCCCGTCTGACACCCATGTCATGTCAGAAGTTGCCTAAATCACCTTTCTTCCTTCAGCAGGTCGTCTTGACCGTGTCTGCATGCTTGTATGCGCTGAGTCGCTGATTGGCTAATTAAAGAATGATAGCATGGATGAGGTCAGAGCTCCTGGAAATCGTCTCCTCAGGTAGCTCACACTGAAAAGGTGTTCATACTGAGCTCTGAGCTGGCTACATTCATATCCTGGAAGTGTCAGTAGAAAGCAGCTGGACTTCTCTTTAAGGTTCTTGAAGACATTTCACTGCTCTCCAACTCCAGTCCTGGGATTACCCTGAGCTGAGTGACTGAGAATCTACACACTAGTTCCATAAATAACATCGATCCTATCTGAGACACAAGGACAAACAATTAGTTGATTAATCTGTTGGTTGTTGTTCAGAAAGACAAAAGCTTTTTCATTATTCGGTTGTTCAGGAGGTACAAAAAGTTCTCGTTCCAGTTTTCTAGTAATTACCTCCTGCTGTTTGTCTTAAGAGACGTAAATGAACCAAATTAATCTGTGGAGTTGCACATGGACTAAACAAAGCTTATGTCAGGCTCTCTGTGTCTCTGTGATCACGTGATTTCATTAAAAAAAATAATTGGCTGGTTAATAGACAGGACAAATGATTGTTAGTTCAGGCCATACTTTTCTATCATCGCTGCACCGTTTTATAAATCACTCTCGTCCTATTTCACGCGTTGCCTCGAGACATTCTTTGAGAGGAATGATGTGAATCTATTCAACGAGGTTTAGCAGAATGAATCGGGAAGCGTGAGTCACACTGAACAGGATTAATGCTTGTTGTAGAGATGAATTAGTTAAAAAAAGAAAGAAATGCACCTTTTTTTGTTGTTTTTAATCAGTTAATACAGCTTCTATAGGACATGGCAAAGTGTGTTTGTGCACAACAGTAGCTGCTCTTTATATTTATGATTGAGTTTGATTCATTCTGATTGGCTGCGAGGGGAAGCAGAGCGTTTACAGTACGTACACTTTATCTGTGTCTGTATACACTGTTTAATGTAATACTGCCTATTGGATTATGAAGATGTCGTGTCTGCTCATGTTGCTGCGAGCATCCAGCATGGAAGCAGCACGTCGCGTCTTTAAAAACAAAGTCTTGAAATGACGCTGGTTCAAATCAGGAAACGAGCTCCCAATGTCAACTTTTAGTACTTGCCAGTAAATTTCTGTGTGAAGTTTTGCACGCTAAACAGTTAAAATGAACACAAATAACCACCGATGCAGAGCGGGGACACTTTTATCAAGAGGAAATCCAAGAAAAGCGTAGAGGACGTCCTGTTTGACTGACAGATGATATCTTTGAAGTGCAGCAGAGAAACATCACATGACTGAGAAACATGCAGCAGATGGAGCCAGAAAGTATAAAGTACAATAACTCAAAGAGCTGCTTTGTCACCATGATTCATGTTCCTCTGGCAGGAAAATGCAATTTACTGTTCAAATCTAATTTTTGCACATTGACATTTACAAGTGAACGGATCAGATTTGTGTGTTCTGCTGTCGTTGTGACCTCCAGTGTCCTCTAAAGCAGCACAGGTGTGGACTTAATGAGACTTCTGTCCTACAAGTCTGGAAGTTGTTTAAGCACTCAGTCTGCTCTTGGACATTATTTGTAGATGCCCAACCAGTCAGGTGCTGCTGGTTGTTACAGGGATGTTTTGTTATAACAGTAGAAGAAGAAGAAGACAAAGATGAAAAAGAAGAGAAGACGAAGAAGAAGAAAAAGAAGAAGAAGGTGAAAAAGAAGACGACGAAGAAGAAGAAGATGACGACGAAGGAGAAGGCGAAGAAGATTGATAATATTGTACCTTTTAAAAATGGAGTCTACAAAGCGCTTTACAGGCAGGACAGAAAAAAAGAAAAGAAGGAAATTCAGTCAGAACATTGAACAGCAAAAGGCTGGTCAGTCCGAACAGGGTTAAAGATTCACAAAATAAATTGTACAGCAACACAAGATCAAATAGTAAAGTGCCACATTCAATGAATAGACAGAAAAAGTGGAATAAAAGAAAATGGAGTGTAAAACCATAAAATCTAAAGCGTATAATAATAGTGGTTGTTGTAATAGTACATCAGTAAATAAATAAAGGGTAGAAGAAAAATTAAATATATTAATTGGATGATAAAAATAGTAATAATAGTAAATAAAGATAGAAATAAAAATAGATATGGACAGCATCACATAAAAGCCGGCCCAGTAAAATGGGGTTTATGAAGTTCTTTAACCTTTAAATACTATTTAGGTCAAATTTGACCCATTTTGACGTTTGACAGCAGTAAAAACACACCAACCCTGAACATCCTTCCTGTAGCTTGAAATGTGATGACTTCTCCTAAAGTGACCTAAAATACACAAAAATGAAACCATTTTAACATTTTATGCGTTTGTACAGGTGCTACAAGTTCACATGGAGGCTCAGATCTGACCCGTACATCCATTGAGATGGTTTTAGATCTACCAGTGTGGATCAGATCAAGGACATGGTGGTTTTAGGGAATCTTGAACCTGTGGAACTGTACAGGCCGTGTTTTATGTGTATTTTTTATTTACATCTATTAACGTGACATCAGCTATGTAGACGTTGGAAATAGATCTTTAGTTTAAAATTCACACTTATTCCCGGTACTGAGCGGACCAGGCTGTGAAGGCACATCATATGAACCATATGTAAAGGTTTAAAGGAGGCACTGATTCAGCATTTTGACACCTGCTGTTGTGATTTAGACACACAGTGATCTACTGGCAGCTTACACCAGTGTTGTATTTCCTCTTCCCTCAGGTGTCTCTGTCCATCCCAGGGCTGCCGGTGTTAGAAAAAGGTGAGTCCTACTCCTGCTTCTTCGAGGACAGCCACAGTCCCGCCACAGTCACCGACACCGGAGTCACCTGCCATTCCCCCGACACCAGCAGAGTTCCCACGGTGCCTCCAGGACAGGGTGAGAGTCTTTAACCACAGATCTGACCAAAACCGACGCACCTGCACTTTAATCACTGCTTTGAACTTTTCAACTCAGTGCCTGGAGGTTTTCGCTGCTCGCTGTCAGAGATTAATCTTCATGTTCCTGTTTCTGTTTCTACAGTATGTTTGTGTTTGCATGATCAGACATGCCCAACATGTATCCACTTGGGTCTTTTTGTCAGAGAATCTAGGCTAACCCAATCCATTTTTCTAAGCCAGCTTACACAGCAGGGGGTAATCTGTATTTTAAAGCGTTGGACTCCCCGTAAATCTATTTTCGCCGGTGATTCTGTGCTTCGACAGCAGCTTTGGTTTTTTCCTGGTTCGGTTGTTGTTGCAGTGCAATAAGAGCAGCTTGAGAGTCGGCGGCAGCGAGGGGCTTGTAAATAAGAAGCGAAGGTCACAGTCGCCCAAACATTTACGTTATTTTTGTGTGTCTCTGTCTCACACACATAGATTCTGGTTCCCATGCCTGGATTCCTGAAAACTGCAGCTTGTTGTAGTTCTCAGGGTGCAGGACTCAGCAGGACTCAGCCCGGGGTGGGAGGTTTACTGGGATATGGACACACAGGCTGCGTTTAAGGTTCTGGCTCTGGTGGCTTACCTTCACTTAAAGAGGGTCAGCGCCGACGCTCACTTAATACAAGATGCAGCCCAAAGCCAATTGTTTCATTAGAGGTAGAGGTGAGATTCTGTCTGTTTAACAAAGCTTCTAGTAAAACTGCAAATCCTCCGTTTAAACCAACTGCATCATCTGAATGAGCAGTTTGTTTCCTTTCATACAAGCGAATCGCCTCTGGGTTGGAAGTTCAGCGAAAGGCCGCAGAATCCATCAAGCTCTGTTACAGACAGGCGGTTGGAGAGATCTTTACCTGACAAGTCACACCTGTTAGACCGAGTTCAGACTGAAGTGCAAAAGACTGGATTTAAAATCTCAGGCAGAAGCTCTGTCACAACCTGAAACTGTTTAAATCAATAAATGAATAAAAGCGACAATATAAATGTTATGTCTGAAAAGTGTGACTCAGCTCACTGACTGCCGGTAAAGTTCACCTCTGAAGACAAAGTCCACATGATTCTCAATAATACATGAAAATCAGACATTTCAGATGTTAAATAAAGATGAACTTTATCTCCTTCAGTAGGCATTCCTTTGACATATTGTGAAATATTCCAGATAGAGATTTGTTAAAGTAACGAACCACTTTGCAGATAAAAGAATCAGCGTGTTTATAAAATGTAGTCTGAACCAGAATCACAAAGCAAAGCAGGAACAGGTGTCTGAAGCTGGTGAAGATGTGGCCTAATGGATCTAAGCTCTGTGGGAAATAATAGGAACGGGAGACAAGGTGTTCATCCTGCATCATCAATGTGGCAGTAGACAGATGTTTCCAGATGTGCCGAGCATCAGCTCAGAATAGAAACGTGTGGGACCCTGATGCACCATCTACAGTCCAAAGAAGTCTTCTTACGAGGGGTTTTGATGCAAGGCGTGCAGCCAGAAGGCCATTCCTCTGATCCAAGAGACTCACCTGTGCACTGGGTGAAGAGTAGAAGTCAGTTTGTTGTCTGGAAAACAGGTTCAGGTTTGAGACTGCATCTATGGAAACGGATTTGATTGTCATCCGTGTCCTCCTCAGCGCTGAGAAGCACAACCAGAGTCTGCAGCATCATCGTGTTCTGCGTTGAGGTCACTGTTTCTTAGATGTTTATCCGTCCGTGTGTTATGCTGCTACCAAGCTGCCTGCATGGGATCTTTATTAAAACTGAACAGAGCCGGACTGACAGCGAACCCACAAGTCTAGCCAGAGAGAAGAACAACTGGCCTCAGCTACAATAAAAACAAGACGGTCTGCAGAGCGCTGATGTCATGGAGTTGGTCTGGGATTACATAAAGACAAGAGGAAACAACTGTGGTTCAAGATGCTCAACAACCCACCTGCCAAGCACCTTAAAGACCTGTGTGCAAGGAGGAGGACTGGCACCAAATCTAAATTGGATTTTTATCGTCTGTCTATTGGACTTTAAAGTTTACTGGTTTAAAAAAGCTACTCAGGACATTGTTTATGAAAGAACAAGTCCCTTAAAGTCCATTAAAGCTCTGCTAGTACTGTGTAAAAGAAGGAAAGGACGCAGAAAATAGAAGATATCAGGACATGTTATCCTTTATCACAGCAAAATACCAAAGAGATAACCACTTCTTGGCAGCTTAGATTCCACTGTAGGGCTGCAATAAGAGAAATGATCTTTTTATGCAAGTTATGTTTTTGTAGTCTGTCCGTCATCTCTGCTGTTTGTGATTGGATGCTGCTCACCAAGGTTACCGCTCAGATCTGGCAATGTGGGGACTTATTTGGATGAGAAAACAAATTCAAATAGCAGAGTTGTTCCCCCGAACTGTCCTTTTTAAACATCCGTCAGTGTTTCCAGACCATCCTCCACTGACAGAACTGGTTTTTGTGTGTCTGCAGCCTCCAGGATGAGGATGGAGGTTGCACACTGGTTTCATCAGGCGCCTGTGTTCTGGCCGTGTGACCAGAAAACTTTGCGATGTGTTGTTTTGCTCACGCTTGTCCTTCTCTCTGTGTTCTGTCGTCAGATTTTGTCACCGTCACCTTGTCTCTTCGTTTCGGCGACGTCACGGTCACGGGGAGGGGTTTCACCTTCTACGACTGCACGGCTGTTAAGCAGCTGTCTGGCAGCACGCCGTGAGTTACCACCTATGATTTATCAGCTCTGCTCTGTCGGCCTGTCTCCTCCCTGCTCTACTTGCTGCAGACCTTATAATCAAGCGCCTCTGTCTCTCCGAGGCGGCGCTTTTCCATCTCGTTGCTCCATCATCCTTTGTCCCTCCATCGATTCACCCTTCACTGTGTTTTTCTATTTCTTCTGTCTCCTGTCTCTAATTCTTCTTCAAACCTGTGATTCCACGCTTTAAACGCTCCCTTTTATCTCAGCCAGATGTTCTTCATGTCAGTAGATCTTACTTACAGTATATATTACATATGCCCATGAAGGCTGCAGACGCCTGACTCTTACTTGATTTTCCATCCCTACATATTCCCGTCACGTGACTCGACTGTGCTGCTCGAGTCTGGATTTAACTCTAACTAGTGGTTATCATGTGAGAGATGGAAGAAAATTCGGCCTCATACCTGAACATTTCAATTTTTATATCCTGAAATTCTTGCTTTGAGTATTCTCTAAATAGTCTTAACTACACAAATGTACAATAATCCGCCACAAGACTCTTTTTTTTTCTTGGGACATTTTTACTCACTGCAGGATCACTTTCACTGCAATAAAAAGTCCTGCATCACTATGGAAACAGCAAAACCAGGACTAGATGTAGCAAAAACTCAAAACAAAGTTATGATGCCATGAATCAGAAACAAGTTCAATTGGAAAAACCTGGAATCAGCATGGAATCAGTCATTTACAAGCATCTTTGTCTTGGGATGTGTCACATTTTTACTCACTTTCACTACAATATAAAGTCCTGCGTCACTATGGAAACAGCAAAACCAGGACTAGAGGTAGAGAGAAATCTGTAATGTGTTTGTGCATTATTGCAAAGTTATCATGCCATAAATCATAAAAAAAAATTTGATTTTTTTTCAAAATTATTTTTCACAGCTATACAGTCGTCCTCAAATCTATTCATATCCGTCCATTAAAGAAACGGCAAAATTCACAAAAGTCACTCAAATAACTAGAAACTGAAAAAAGTGATAATAAATAAGAATTTGCTAAATTATAATATAGTGAAATAAGACATTGCTTTTGAATTGTGGGTGAAAAGAATAATTTAAAAAATAAAAAACTGTCCCGGACAAATTAGAGCACTTTGCTGATGAGCAGTGAACCCAGAACACCTGTCAACAGGTGCAAACGTCTGACTGAGAGTTACAGGAAACACCTGATGGCAGTGATTGGCTCAAAGAGTGGTTCAACAAAATACTAGTTCACAGGTCCCATCATGCTTGTTTTTTGTTTGTTTGTTTTTTATATTTTTGTTGAACCACAATTCAAAAGAAATGTCATGATTTTCATTAAATTTTTATTTATCATTACTTTTGCCAACTTATTTCAGTGACAGCTCTTTGTTTCCTTCTTTCATGGGAGGGTATGAATATGAATGCAGTCCTGCACCTCTATGGACACACTGTGGAGAGAGAACTTCAAATTGTAGTTGTGCACCGTAGGCAGATATAATCCATGAATCATTAAAGAAAGAGAGAATTGAAATGTTAGATTTTTTTGCAGGTGCAGGTATCAGATTTTTTTTAACTGACTTTCAACTCAGTTTAAAACTATTTAATGCTGCCAGAGGACAGTGTGCAGTGAATATGAATATGAATATGCTTCAGATGATGATCAGGTGAAGAAACAAAGCTGCTCTTTTTTTTCTTTCGTGAAGCTAATAATGATGATGATCTCTGGAAGAACATGTTGCTCCGTCTGAACCTCGCTGTGTGCTGAACGCCTGCTGAGTGTCTCTCCTGATGGGCTTCCTTGTGTACTCACTCTCACTGTTCCCTCTCATCCTGCCACTCTGCTAAGAAACTGAAGCTGGATTCAATTAAACCGCTTGACCTTTCTTACACACTGCAGGCCAACCGGCGGCAATTGGATTACGCTGCGTGGCACAAGCTGCAATAGCTGCATCTCTTCCTCTGTGCCATTCTGTCTCTTATCCCACCTCTAGATAAACAGTCCGTACTGTTTCTACCACTTCCACCCTGACTCAGTGTTGACTTTCTGCCTCTGATGTGTGTCTCCTGCCTTCAGTTGCCGTGGTTGCGTTTTGAGCCGATGGGGCTGCAACTGGTGCGTTCACCAGCACTCGTGCACCCACAAGCCCACCTGTGAGGAAGGCGTGGTCATCTACAACCAACACGTAAGTCCCGGCGGTCGAACTGAGGATGGTGTGCAGGAGCAAAGTGTAAAATACTGTTAAAGGAAAAGTGCTCTGTTAAAGAAAGCATCTGTTTCAGAGGTAGAACATCAATGATGTCGTTTTCCAGCAGCAACACGTGTGAACTTACAACCACAAAAACCACCAATAGCTGGTTCAGTTGTTGTATTTTATTTTATTTTTTCAAAATAAAAGCCCTTGATTGTGCTTGTTTAAAACCAGATTGTTAACTTGACAGGAGTGTTTTTGATTCATAAGAACCTGGTAAGTAGATAAATGTTCAGGCGTCCTGTTGTGTGTGTTGTTGTGCCTCATGTTTGTAACCAGACGTCACCGCTGATCATTCCTCATACGCAGCAATAACAGCAGCTCATGTCTGTAACATCACCTTTGAGTTGTTTTTCCATTTTACTTTAAGTTTTTTTGTTTCTGTCTCACCCTCCTCTCCTCATGTCTTCCTCCCCTCCTCCCTCCCCCCCAGTTTAAACTCCCCACCTCACCTCCTCCCACAACCAAAACTCTAAAAGTCGTCACGACAGCCGCCACCACCACGGTTGCCCGGACAACCACCACCACGGCAACCACCACGGCTCCTCCCACAACAACAACAACAACCACCACAACTATTGCAACTACAACTACGACTGCAGCCCCTGTCACTGTAGCAACCACCCAGGAGCCCACCACCCGTCCAGCACCCACCACCCCACCCGTGACCACCACCAGCCCCGAGCCAACCACCCCGCCCACCACCCTGCCGCCTCGGCCCGCCAGCACCCTGCCACCCAGCACAGCAGCACCCACCACGCCTCCACCCCCGGAGGTCGTCACCAGGAAGCAGGAGGAGGCGGAAACAGACGAACTCGTCGTCGTCACCCAGAGTCACTCCGGAGATGCTGCAGTGACGACCAGCATCGCCGTGGCGGCGGCGGAGCTGATGCCCGTCACCGTGGCGGACGGTCTGAGTGGAGATCTGGACCCCGTGGTGCCGCTGATGATCCCAGACTCCTTCCCTCCAGAGGTGTTGACAGAGGCAACACCCAACGGCTCCCAGGAAGCCGAGGGAGCCGTGAGTCTGGCCGAGCCCCCCAGCCTCGGCTCGTCCGGCTTCCCTCTGCCCACACCTTTCCCTGTGGGCGAAGCGGCCGACTCCGAGCCCTCCCTTCCCCTGGACGTGTCCCCGACGCTGCTCCCCGCTCAGGACCCCCAGACCGAGGCAGGAAGCCCGGACGCCGACCCCGAGGTCCTCCTCTGGCCCAAAGAAGTGGATGTCCACACCGAGGGTGGCGTCCAGTCAGAAAATGACACGGCTACGTTTTCAGCCGCCACCGTGCTCTCAGGTGACGGGGAGGTCGACCACCCTCCCCCGTCCTACCCACACCTGCTGGATACTGACTCAGAGCTGGACTACCAGTATGATCCGGCTGATGCCTTCCTCCCGGTGAGTTCAGACGCCTCCGTTTTCCTCCTGCTGCTCCTCCTCCTCCTCCTTCTTCTGCTTCTTCTTCTTCTTCTTCTTCTTGTCAGCAGCCTCCTGGTGCTCCCAGCTCCTGACTGGACTCCTGCTAGAGTAACAAACCTTAAACCAGCTTCCCAGTCTGCCCTTCTTTCCATGCTGTCTCTGGACTTCTGTGTTCTTTTTGTTCGCTTTCATTGTAAGAACTGACTAAAAAAAAAACACAGCTGCTTCACTACAGCACTGTGGTTTTTTTTGTACATTTTGTGTTTTCTGATTTATTTTCACATCAACAACTCTGCATTACTTTAAAAATACACTTTGAAACTTGTTTTTTCCTCTGAGTGCTGTGTGTGAGTTAAAGAAGTGAAACAGAGTCGTATGTTTGTGCAGCTTCTGTCTGACTGCAGTATCCATGTACACATGCTTATGTATGCTTCATACACACACACTGAAGATGCTCGTATTAAAGCCCAAATCAGTATCAGTGTTAATATTTAATAGTTCTGATAACAACATGTTGGCGAATGTGCATCTTTTAACCATTAAAGCATCAACAACCATTTTTAAAAGATGCCTGTAAGGAACTGTGTCCTCAAAATGTGTTAATTAAGAGATTTTTAAGCTGAAAAATCGGTAAGCCAACGAGTGTATAATGCATTTTCTAAACTGGGCATAGCAATGTGAATATTCAGATAACAGTGAAAAAAAATAGAATACCAAACTGTGGGACAGTTGAGCTTGAACGGAGGTGATGAGGACGAGATGCAAACCATCTTCTGGTGATAGAGTGACTGTACTGGTTTGTTCAAGTCCAGCGAGCGGTACAGCCTAATAGACTGACAGATACAGACTTTATTCATCCCCGTGGGGAAATTCAAGGTATCCAGTAGCTCACACTCATCATAGGTCAGGAAAACAACATACAAAAGAACGTGCAAATCATGAAATAGAAATAAAATGCCCAAAATGCTGCTATTTACTAAAAAAGATGCAAAATTGTTGGTATTTACAATAAACACAGTAGTAAAATAAATATAAAATGGTATTACTAGTGAGCATATAGGAGGGGTGTGATGGATGGGTCCTCGTGGGTCAGGATTGTCGTCGTATTGCACAGTTGAGATGAGAATGGGAAAAGTTTCCACTGAACTCTCAGCATTCACTGGGACACCTAATGCAGAAGTCAGACTTCGGCTCCCTCGTCGGCTGTGACAACAATCAGTGAGTCCTCCGGTACAGTTGGTATTCCTGTTAAATTAGTCCACTCCTCTGTTCGAGACATTACCTAATTCTCAGGAAAACATGAGCAAACACAAGCTGCATCCAGATAGATGAGCCCCGACAACAACCCGCAAACTGATCAGTGTCAGCGAGACGGTTTCAAGAGTGACTCATTTTTCATTAGAAAAGTGTGCAACCTCACTTCCTCTTGAAGATTCACTAAATTCTTCTTGAAAACCACCAGATTCTGCCCCAGTATGGCTGCAGCTGGCGGTGGTTGGGAATCCCCGCCAATCCGAGGTCTAAATGAAGTCATACTCCAGATATTTATCCTCATATTTCCTGCTTTCTGCATGTTTTTCCCCTTTGATTCGTACCCTGCTGGTCGCTCTTTGGCAGCATCGCTTTGGGATTTCACTCCCACTGATTAGAAACCGCTTGATCTCTCTGTAGTCCAGAGTTACTTGTGCAAACAGGAGCTGGTGTCTGGAGTGTGTGTTTACCATGCAGCCTATAGGTGGAGCTGTTATCCAACTATTTTATATAGTTATTCTTACTGGAACACCCTCTGGAAGTTCAAAATAAGAACCACTTAGGAAGTTACTAAGTGGTCGGTAAATGTTTGCTTTAATTCACCTCCTGGTTTGTAGAGAAACACAGTGTGTGTATGAATGTAGACATAAGCTCAGTGTGAAGACGAGAGGCCCGGTGTGTTAATGTCGTCGGTGTGTATTGAACAACAGGGGGACGAGGGCTCCTACGTCAGCTGGGGCTCCTCAGCGTGTCCCTGTGTGGAGAAGGTCCAGGGTTCATCACTGCTGCCCGTCAGGGTGGAGAGGAAGATCACTCTGCTGGCTCGCAACCTGCACTTATATCAGGTACAACACACACACACACACACACACACACACACAC